CGCCAGTCAATGGCAATACTAGGGCTTTGGAATGGCCTGATCTTCCAAGCGCCAAACATGTCACGGACGAAAACCCAGAAGCATACTAGTTGCAGGCTCGGGTGGAGGAATCCGCGTGGAGCAAAGCTTTGTTCAGAAAGAGGGAAAGCTGCTGATAAAGTCCTGTGCGAGCTCCAGTAGAGGTGGATGCCTGGATGTAGTTGGCCACTTCTATCAGCGGGCCACGGCCTTCACTCGTTTCAAATCTTGCCGAGCTCTTGCCGGAGGTTGTGTGAGCGTTGCGGAGTCCATGAAGATTTCTGGCTCAAATTCGTTTGATGGGTGCACAGCGTCAGGTGCAGGCGGAGGTTGCCTTCATGTCCAGCGCAATTTCTCTCAGCATCGAGGCACCGTGACTTTCACTGGATGTCAGACGTTGATAGATGGCGGTGGCGGCTTGCAAGTGAAAGGCAACCTGACTGCGCATGCTGGGAACATGACTTTTCAGAGCTGCAAGGCCGGGGGTGACGGAGGCGGAGTGGATGCATGGGGGAACGTCCGTGCTCGAGCAAATGCCAGCCTTATTTTCAACGAATGCATGGCCGGCAAACATGGTGGAGGCCTGGGTGCCCAAAAAGCTATACTACCTTGCCTTGAAATCATTTGCTATGCTGCAAGGTATGTCCCTGTCCAGCGGCAACTTTTTCCAGCATTCTGCAAAAATTCATTTCCGCCGCTGTGAAGCGCATGCTGGATACGGAGGAGGGTTGGCGGTGCCCAACGGCCACCTCATGCAAGATGCAGGCAACATGCAGTTCACTGGTTGTAGTGCTGACGCTGGCGGCGGCCTCTTTGTGCAGCAGGAGGTGATGATACTGCGCGGTATGGTTCTGGCTTTCAAGAAATGCAAGGCGACGCGTGGTTTTCCTGGAGGCTCAGCACAATAGCCCTTGAAGGTATGACAAGCTTAAGGCACATTGCATGTAGTGATTAGCTAAATGCTCATGAAGTGAGGCATGAGGGTGGATAGAGTTTGCATCCAAGTGTGCGCTTTGAGTAGCTTCGTCCCTCGTCCCTGATGTATTTTGCTACCATTTTGCTGTCAGATCTTGTCGTTTCGGCTATGCGTGCTCTCTTTACTCTTCACCTTGCGCTCCTCAGGTCAAACACCAATGGTGCCTGACATGCATATGTCTGCAATGTCCTTAAGGCATCGTGTGAACGACGGTTTGCGTCACATTGCTTAGCATCTTCTGCAGCAGCACCTGCTGCTGCTGCCGCCGGGGACAGGTTGCAAGCTTCAGAATTTGTGACGAACCGTAAACATTTCAACAAATTCAGGCTGAAAAGGAATGTTCGACTGAACAACGGTCTTCTTGGGGGTCCTATGTAAGCTGGTGATTTAACGCGCTTTTTTGAGGGAGATGTGGGAACTATCTATTGACCATGTAGGATCAGTAACCGCCCGAGCCGCGCCGTCATGCAAGGGCAATGGAAAGCCCAATGAGGCGTAAGATGATTGTTGGTGTGGTTCGTTTATTCCGTTTATTCCGCGAATCAAGAAAGGGCTGAACTGCTAAACTGTCGCTAAATTGGCAGATGGAAGTATCTACTGAACTTTGCCATCCCATCCATGATCAGGCGGTGGCATGTACATCAGCCACGGGTTGCTGGACTTGCACGGCCACCTTTCATTCAAAAGTTGCAGTTCCTTTGGTTCCGGAGGTGGTTTGCTGATTGACAAAGGAGGCGTACGTCAAGGCAACGAGAGTCTTCTGCAGTTTTTTGAATGCTCGGCCCTGGGGGCCCACGGGGGTGGCGCCCAGACCATATCATTGAGTAAAGCTTCCGACGTTTGATTTATGTCTCGCTGTAGCAAAAGCCTGTGTACAGTGGACAAGTTAGTCACAATTCTTAGTCACAATTTTAACACTTTGCTCACCTGCTGGCCCAAATCGCATTTGTAGTAAACTTTGCTTCTGAACCATAACGCCCAACCCCCCAGTCCTAGTCCACAAATGTCAAAACTGTCAAAACTATTGTCCAGATACCTTGTGCGGTGACCTTCAAAAGATAAAGGGTAGGCCTGCAATGCAAATATATTGTAGCCTCGCAGCATGTTTTTTTTTTTCAGAAAGTGGTCTACAATCAACATCCTGAATCATAGTCAAGGTATGGCGACTGACAGCTTGGACGCCAATGGCACCATGGTTTTCCACGACTGCACAGCATCCCATCGAGGCTTCAATGCTGATCAGAACTTCCAACTTATAAATACATTTACCGGGTTGTAAGCGAAAGATATCAGGCTTCATACGCTCACAGTAGGGATGCTTGAAGGGTAGGGCATGGGGCGTGCGGGGATGAATTAGGCTCTATATAGGGGAAGTATCAGAAGTTTGCCTTGTCCCGACACAAGTTCCTGTACGGGCTCTAGATCACGGTCTAGTGACGCCCTCCCCTTTCTTGTTTCCATTTGTCCCCTTGTCTCCTGCATTCGGTCGGGAAGTCGATAGTGTGACACCTCAAGGAAGATTTCCAATATTATTGCAATCATTTTCTGCCCTTTACAAAGCAACCTCTTCGCATTTATAACAAGATGATTCGCGTCTCTCTTATAATTATCCCTCCCTGGTCTCCTGAGGTCTTCAATTCTGTTGCATTATCTCCGTTTTTTGGCAAAGCCCACTTCAGAATTGTGACCCGCGTCTCAATCATCATCTCCTCTTGTGTTTCGCCTGGTCTCTGTTCTTGTCTGGCACGTGCCAGGCGTCATTGCAGGATGGTCCCAGTTGTCTCCCTTCATCATCTCCTTCTGTCTTCGTTGCTATCTATTTGTCCCTCTTTTCGAGGCCAAATACTCGTACCGGGTGGTACGCAGCGCCAGGCTCAACATTCTGTTGGTTGTCTTCCTTCATAGTCTTCTCGTGTCGCCTTTCTTGCTTCTTTGTCTCGCGTTTGGCGTCTCCTATTCTTGATGAGGTATCCCAATTTTGTAAGCGACGGTGTGGAATGGTGCTTCTTTTCTCTTTGCGACAATCTCCTCTTGTCTTCCAGAGTCTTCCCAGCTGTTTCCTCGTTTTTGTTCAAGTCTTTTGCTTGGGTTTTCCTGTTTGTCTTTGATGCTGCATATGCAATTACGAGGCGTGTGCGTCATGTCTTCTTCTCCTGTTGTCTTCATTCCTGTGTCATCTTGCTTATTGCCTTCAGGAAACTGCTTGCCTTATGCAGTTATTTGAATGATCTAATTCATTGAAGTTACTAACTGCATGCTCTGCTGCAAGCTGCTGCAGACAGGCTACCTTCATAATGCCGCTTTACACAAAAGTATGTTGTTCTTGATCATGCTTGACATGAGGATTTGCAACTTCGAGCCCTCCGGCTGTTTGGAGTTGAGGCTACGCAATTTTTGACGCCCCCAGATGTCAGATCAGGGGCAGTACTTCGCAGGGCGGCTTACAATACTCCCTGGTATTTTGAAAACCTTGCATACGCTTGTTGGTTTTGTGTTGAGCCTATTGTTCCTTTGCATGAAATTGTTTTACAGCTAGGTGAGGCCCTAAACTTGAGGTATAACCGCCATGTTCTCTAAAGTTTGTGCCGCTGCATCGCAGCCCTACACAGCACTGAAATGGGCCATTCGTGACAGAAACAGCCTCCAAAAAAGCTTTGCATGTACAAAGGTGTGGTTACATCCTAAGCTTTCTACCGCAACAGCAACGCTGACTGACAGGTGGGAATGGTGGAGGATTGTACATTAAGGATGGGCATGGCGTCATGCAGCAACCAGACGGCCACATGAGCTTCGTGAACTGCACAGCAGGGGGCTATGGTGGTGGGCTCTACGCGGGTTCCAACTATTCAGGACCACTTGACGCTGAAACGGTGGACCTGTGTGGCAGGTGATCTGCAAGATAATGGTGGTACATTCGCATTGGCTAAGTATCCTTCTGATTATTGCGAGAGTTAGCTCGAGTGCTTGATAACTCACGTGCTGAGCAATTATCAAACTGAGTTCTGTTGACAAGTAGCTGCTCTTCGCGATGTGAGGAAATTTGTTTCCTTGCTGTCCCTCAGGGAGTTAGCGAGAAGTGAATGTGGGGTTGCATTCAGCAGGTGTGGCCAGGCACTGTGCAGGATACTGCTGGTGACATGCAACATGAAGAAGCTACCACTGCGCTTGCAAAGGGGGCTTCAGCTTCTCAGAGAAACCATGAGTTATACTTGTACATGTATATATATATATGTATATATGTACATGTTGCATTCCGATGCTCCGATGCCTATGAACTGAACCTTGTTTAACGTAAATGCAGCCAATTTATACACAAATTTCAGAGATACTTGCTTAAGACAATTTTGCTACCAATTACAAAGCCAACACCAGAACTCAGTGTCGTGTGCTGGTGCCTGTTACCTGGACAATTTGGCCAGGAGGGCTTGCTAATGTGTCCCTGGACCATTGCACCTCAGAGACCGACGCGGGCAACCTGTACGCCGCCTCCGCCAGGTCACTCGATCATGATTGCTGAAAAACGTCCACTCCCTCATGCCGCGAAGATAGGAATTCAGTGATGAGCGGTCTTTGATTCAAGTCTGTCTTGTCTCAGCGCAGACACAGTGAAAGGTTGAACTTGTCGAATCTGGCCATTTCAGAGCCTCGAAGCGCAGACTTCGACATCATTTCATCTGGTCGTGTGCTCAACAGGGTTACGGCACCCTCTTCAGTTGCACCCCCCCCCCCCAAACGCTTCAGCCGCTGCATGCATCAGGTGAGCTCACACTCAACAGTCTAAGCCTGCAGAGCATGAACCGGAAGTTTGGCTTGAAGATGCGAGCTCACAGTCTTCATGCAGCAGCATGGCTGCAGTTGGCGCTCATGTTCTTTGGGCAGCTGTGAATTTAGATTATTATGGATGCATGCTGCGGACCCGTTCTCCAGCCATCCCCAGTGCAGCGCCATGATGCAACACGATCTAAGGATTCTGTATATTGCACCTCCCTGAAGTTCTGCAGTCTGGATGCCCCTGACTATCACGTCGCCAACCTTCATTGTCCTCCGGGCACAGGGGTCAGAACCGTGGTCGAAGGGGGCCAAAGATGCGCGGCGGCTTACTTGCACGCCAGCGGTTGCATCCCACAAAGCGAATGATCCATGTGACGGTCTTAGAGCCTGAGTTGAGCATTTTAGGAATGCGGCGTTAACCACACACAAATCGGTGGCATCATCAACGACACCAAAGCAGAGTGTGTGAAATGCCCCGTGGAAAACGATTTCTGCTATGCGAACGAGTTCAAGATGAAGCCGGGCCACATGGTTGACCCCGAGAACATCAGCTTCACATTCTACTGCCCCAATCCCTCCGCCTGTCCGGGTGGCAACTCCTCCAACTTGTCCTTAATGTGCGCTGATGGCTACGAAGGCAAGTCATGTGCCAACTGCTCAATGGGCTATGCCATCTCAGACAGTAGCGTGCTCTTGTGCACTCGCTGTCCGAAGACGTGGCGGCAAAAGGCCTTGCAATGGCTATCCATGCTCGGGAAGCATGTGCTACCCTTTGCGTTGGCAGCCAAAAGCGCATTGGCTGCGCCAACCGCTCGCGAAGCCGACCGTGCAAGAGCTGCTTGGCTTTTTTCAGCCGTTTTGCTCTTTGCAAGGGAGGAATATTCGGAAGCTTCAGAAGCTGTGCAGGTTCTGAATCAGGATTCTGTTCAAGAGGAGGCCAAGCGCAGCGCCGTGCTCATCAATCAGCTACTGTCCTTCGCAACCGTCACCGGCGGCCTCTTGACGATCGTTGCCCAGACAAATGCCGTCCGGGAAATCAAGAACTGGGCAGCTACTTGGGCGTGTCTGCTCCGTTTGTGCCGAGCAGTAGAATCATGAGTGTTTCATTATAGAGTTGCCATAAATATTTGATTCACGTTGGACTTTTGGTCTCACCACACTGGCAGTGCCACATCATTCAGCTGCAAGCGTGTTTCCAAGCTAGATCAATGCTACTACTCATCACAGGTCACAGCAGATAGACAACAGTTGATCTAGCCGCTTCCGATCCCTAAAGTGCGTGATTTGAGCAAGCTGTGAAACATGTTTTCTGTTGGCGCATCCCTTCATTCACAATTGACCCCGTCCCTGCGGCTTGTAGTGAAGCTCCTCCAGGCTGGAAACACTGTCAATATCCGTCGCGCCCTGTGTAGCAGGGTGATTGTGGGTTATTTTTGAGACACAACTTGCAATGCAACTTACAATGTAATTGCAGTCGAAATATTCTGCACTCCTGGATGCCAACTTCTCGTATAGAGTGCAGCCAATCGTTGGTTCCCCCAAAACATCCCAAAATGATATTGATATTGCCTGCTGCAGTAAACTCTGCAAGTTAAGTACGGCCTCCAAGACCTGTTGACAATATCTGTTGTACAAGTATGGCGGCTACTGACAGGAAGAAGTGATTGCAGTATTTCCGTTGCGTGCGCTCTCCTTCATTTTGAGCCCTATACACCCTAGACCGCGCAGCTCACCTTGCCTGAATTAAGCCGAAGGTTGTTCTGGAGATATGCGGAGCGACAACCTGGCTGATGGGTGGAGAAGGGCCCTCTGAAGGCGCCACTTTGGTTCAAGCATCCAAGGAATGTTACCGTGTCACAGTGCTTGTTTGGGCCCGTAACCTGTGAAGACTTTGGAGTATCGTTGGGATGTTCAGATAAGTCAGAATTCTCCAGAAAGTTCCTTGAGAGCGAAGTATGTATGCGCATGCCGAGTGGGCAAAAGGGGTTTGAACCTTTTGTGCCCGGGCTATAATAACTTTAATGGCATCACCGGAGGCCAAACTCCTCAGAATCTTGAAGGGCTATATGTGGGAGTTTCACCAAGTTATCCTAAGAGAACGCTTAAGAGGGAGCACAATGATTCCCTCGTACTCCCTATGTATACGTCCCTAGGGTACCACCATTTTGAGAAATCCCTATATGATTGACATCAGGCCGACAGGGTCATTGTGATGAACTTGGGTAGGCTTAGTTGACACCCAAAACTTAAACTGGTCCAAGTATCAAAGATCATGTGCTTCTTCGAAACCTGCGTATACTCAAATGTTCACCACTTGGACCCTCAAGGTTCATAAGCCAAAGCACAGAACAAATCCTCAAAACCTGCGCGACCTCCCCCAAGAGCCGGCAGGGTTCGGCGGCTTTGGGGTTTCTTCTCTTTGCCTGCTGACGGATCTGGGCCTTTCTGGAAAGCTATGGCAAGCCCACCTGCTTCACACTGCTACCTGGTGCCAGCTTGTTTGTTTAGGAAGGCTTCCAGGGAGTGTATGTGGTCCTCATAATAGGGGTAAAGGATGGTAAATGGATAGTTCAAGGTTCTGATGATAATGGTGGTTCGTAAGGAATGAGATATATTCCCGTAACTACTAACCCCCAGAAAGCAAATTTTGCAATGTCACAATACAAATAGTAATAACTACAATACAAATAGTAACAATACGAATAATAGTAGTACCCTAGGGGTCCAAGTACCTAATAATCATATACTTACCCAACATCTGTACTATAAGTAGTATTCCTAAAACTTTAAGTACCCAATTATTGGGTACATGGACGTTTAGGGGTAATAGTAAGAATGGGAATAGTAGTAGCCCCCAGCAAGTGTAAGGCATCTCCAGCCTGGCCCAACTTAAGACCCAACATGGAATCCTTCATACACTGTTTAGAGTCAGGGTTTTAGGGTTTAGGGTTTGGAATCCTTGTTGCGCTTACCCAAAGAGAAAGAAAAAGGGCAGTATACTAGGTTTTGCACGGCCCTGCTTGTGCTCTCATGTTAGTTTGTAGCAGCATAGCTGTTCAAAATACCTAGACCGCACCAACTGCTGGCCTGCGATGCAGTCTGCTCCAAACAAAAAAATTAACAACGAACATAATAATGAGAAGTATTGAAGTGTCGGTTGCTCTGACAAATCAAAGTAGTTGCGGACTCTTAGCCGTCCTCGCTTTCAACCATGAAACTGCTCTCACCCAGATTTCTAATGAACTCTACCTGGTCAGTATTCCCTGGTCCAAGCTTCCCTGCTTTCGGGCTGTCGTTCTGAACCGCACCATAAAGTCCCAAATGCCCTTTTTGTCATGAATTGCTTAACCAACCGCAAGCCAAGGTCATTTCATTGGCTTTAGTCTTCGGTCTTATGGCCTTTCGTCGACCAGCACAGCACGGCCTTGTGGTGGTGGTAGGCGCGAAGCTCGCAGCACAATGGATCGGGGCGGACCTAGGACCTAAGAAGATTTCTGCAAGACACAGTGAATGCAAATCTGCTGAAAACGAGTCATCGCAAGACCCCATCCCTTGAAATCTTCACAGCTTTCCTACGCTTTTAAGTGGAGGGTGTGGCGTCAGCCTTCGCTGACGTGTCATGTTCAATGCTCTAGATTGCAGCTGCTGGTTCAGGCTTTCTTGTTGTTGGCGTGCTAGTAGACAGCAACAGTTTCTCCTTGTAGCACCTGCCTCTTTTTTGTAGCTACGTTTCTTGTTCTTCCACTGCTACGCCTCCTACTAGTGTCACTTCTGCTAGAATGTCTACCACTACTTCGACTAGCAATACTACAAATCGTGCTTAGTAGTGTAACAGTCAATTAATTGTGCAAGTCGGGCGTATCTCCGGTTCACAAGGAGTGCATGAAAGCTCTAGGTAAGATATGTGTAAGAACTACAGTTTTGGATTACCTCAGCAATATTGAAAAGAAAAAGCTATAGCCCATTTTAGCAGGTGCAGGGTACGTTCGCGTTCAGAAATCTGTGTCCACAGCCTGCATGTGGGAAGGCTTGAATTGCTTTTGGCCTGGGATTTTCAGCTACTTTGGCAAGTACCTTTACTGTCCCTGCCTCAGTTGTGCATACTCTAGCCAAGGTATGTCCAACTCCCCAGTATATTAGGAACTGCCAAGGCTACCAGTTTGCGCCAGAGAGCGCCGCCATAAAAAGGGAGGATACATACGATTGCCCCTTCACAGACAGCCTTGGTCAGCGGATCGCGCTGCGCATCGTCATGCTTGTGGTCTTCCTGGTGGTCGCGCTTGTGTGGATCAGCCTTTCACTGTTTCCTATCTACAAGAAGGCAAGGTCTGTTGGCAGTCACAGGCTCGCTAACTTAGACTTGGCATACCCATCACCCCCAAAGCATCCTCTTCTTACGCCTTCCTGCTGCAGGGTGACGAAGGTGACAAAGATCCACCACTTCATGTGATCTTCCTGAGCCGAGCATACCGACAGAGCTGCCGCCTGTGGGAATCCGAACGCCTCATGAGGACGACATCAAAATGGGCCTTTGAAGCGTCGTGCTCCATTTTGTTTGTCTGGCCCATTTTTAATTGTAATAGTAGGACTGTTCCCTTGGGATGATGTTAATGCGCTTGGAAGCGGAACTGGATCACTGCTAATTTGTCAGCTGAGGGCCCCTTTCGGGATCCTTTAGATGCGGCCTTGCCCCCACGGGTCTTGCCATTCGTAAACCCCACGGGTCAGCAAGAAATCTCTAAAAAAAGTCAGCTGCCCAGCACCGGAGACCTAACAAAGCAGGTTCTTTTCCATGAGGACATGCAATGTGGGACTGACACGCATCGAGGCAGTTCCATGTCGACCTGCAAACCCTAAGTTCAAGACCTCTAAATCTGATAAAGCCTTGCCTTGAGCTCTGAGCGCTAGTGCTTAACCAAAAAACACACCCTTAACCCTTGAAAGCCTCAATATCCCCTTACCAAGTCGGAAGGAAGACGCTGCTGACGCTTGCCGTCTCTGCACTTCCCATCACTTCCTCTCCCGCTCTACAACTTGTAGGGCGCCAAGTCATCAGTTTTTGCAGGTTTCAAAGGATGGGAGAGCTGGAGCATTATTTTTGAGGGTTGGGGGTCAGAGTAGGGTTGAAGCTTGAGGCTCGTGGCCCATGAAGGACTGAAGGTGACAGAACTGGATCCAGAGTCAAATGTTGTTCGGCCGACGCTTCGTGCAAGAAGCGTCTGTGAATCCCAAGATCAGTGTGTAGCGAGGCCCAGCAGCTCAAACCCTCATTCTCGACATACGCCAGGCAGATGAGTGGAATAGGACCCTAAGAGTCCAAGGATGTAAACAATTGGGCTTCAGGTCTCAAATGCCATAGTTGAATGGTTTGTCCCTGGATATCAGCCTCGTCAGGGCCCGCATGCACGCTTGCAAGGCATGGCAGAAGTTCAGAGCTGTGCTTGGGATTATCATGCTAATTTCCAAGGATTTTTCTCCGGAGGAACAGCGAAGAGGAATCCCTGCATGGCCTCCATATTCCGAGGTGCTCCCCATACTACCTCCCATAGCGGGCCACTATTTGCTTCCCAAAGCTCCCAGACACTCTTAGGGCTTGTTTTGCAGCAGGCTGCTCGAATGTTGACAGCTCTGCATCCTGAGTGTCATCGCACTAAGAATGAAAACGGTCTACGCACCAATTCAGAACAGTACTGCGCGTGATGCTACAGTCTTTTTCAATAGTGCAGCCTCAAAAGGAAAAGACATGTCCAGGTCTGCGTCCTGGGTGTTGTGGTGGTGTCCCTCTTCTTGTACGCCGCACTTTTGCCGTACAAGACGTTGCTGGGCACGTATTTGCAAGCACGTTGTCCCTTCTGTTCATCGTATCCTGCTGAAAGCCGTTACATCCAAGCAAGATGTACAAATACCCCGCAACTCGCATTTCTCAGTGCTTGTCAACAGCTCAAATACCTCTTGAGATCATCAAACGAAGAGAGGTCACTGCGGTCCCCAAATCAAGCACAGGATGCGCTTCAACCTCACCGAATGCACGCTGCTAGCAACAGCAGCGCTGATGACTGGAATAGTTAGCTGCCTGCCCCTTGGCAGTCGCAAGGGAGTGCAGGGATTGGAGTTCAAGCGCAGCACGTGCTGTGTTCAACAACGTATGCTCGGCATGTTCCAGCGGCGCATTCGTTAGCTGCTAAGCTTCTTTGTTGCCAAGGGTTTGGAGGGCTAGTCTTGATGCACATTGTTGCGATGAAGTGTGGGGTCAGCGAGGACAATATGTACTGCACCCTGCCTCATCCTTTCGGGTGCCTGGATCCTTTCCGCTGGTGCTTCAAGGGGGAGTGGGGGAGTGGATCTCCATACTATTGCCATCTATTGCCCTCATCATCACCTTTAATGGTACTAGTTACTAGTAAGTACCTATGTCATGTTCCCTCCCCCAATCCCTGTTAAGAATCAGTAAGCTGCGGGTGAGACTAGGACCGCATATGACGACTACTGGGGCCGCGTCTTGCAAGTGGAGTTCCTGTTGATCTTCACCATGGTGGGCCTTGTGGTTGTCACCTGTACCTCAGCTTAATGTTGAGGAAGTCAAGGGTTTGGGGTTTGTAGGGTCTTAGGAGGTTTGGTGTTCAGGTGTTAGGGGTTTTGGGGGCTAACAAGTGTTAAGAGGGTTTAGGGGTCAATAGGGTTTTAGGGAGAAGTTCGGGCTTTAGGTTCTAGGGTTCATAGGGTTAGGGTGTCAATAGGGTTTTAGGAAGTTTTGTTTTTGGGCCTTAGGGTTTATACTGTAGGGTTAGGGGTCAGGCGGTGTCTGTGGGAGTTGTTCAAGAAGGTTCCCATGCTGCTGTAGATGGAGCCAATCAGGCACGGGCCTATGTACCCATACCCCGAGAATTGCAGTATCATAGGGGTCCTGGGTCGCGCAAGAGTTTCTCCGTCAGAGTTTCTCCGTCCAGTTTATGCTGAAGAGGCGCCTCTGTACTCTACACATACTCCACGGGTCGGTCCTCTGATTCATCAGGGCACCTAGTAAAGGATTTCTTTCCTCTTGGGGGGGGTCCTCATGATCAGCTAGTCTTAGAAGACTGCTATTGGGAGAAACCCATGTGGATGCATTGGTGCAAGACCTATCTCGGACCGCAAACATGTGCCTCAACAAGTGGAATCCTCATGTGAAGTTGTGTTTTCTTGTGGTCTTTGGCGAGTATACATAGATTTCTTAGGAAAATTGAGGCCTTTTTTGGCGGACCATAGATATCAGTGAGATACCACAAACTCCCTACCCCTGCCTGGTTGCCACAAACCTTGCCAATGGGAGTGCAACACCATCTGTGGGACTCAGGCTTTGTGATGATGTTTATGATTTACCTGGAGCGCCCGTCCTCTCAACAACATTTGCTCCTTTTGATGGGATATATTTTCAGGCATAACTTGTCAGGGCATCCTGGAACAACTTTTGATGAATCCTGGAAGGCAGGTTTTCCGGGTTCAGAGATGTGTTGAATCTGGGACTAGGCGGGCCAGATCACTCGATTCAGAGTTCAGAACCTCAGTACATGACTCAGGTATGTTACCCGTCTCATGGGCTTTCCAGGAATGAAATGTAGGGCCATTACCAACGGGACTCAGACTTGCGAGAAGCTTAAATGTGTAGAGTAACATGTCTACATGTTCTTTAAAGCTTGGAACATGAGTTCATGCAGCTGCGTCGCAGACTAATTAGATCATGCTGAAAGACTTCTCTCCATGGTTACGCATCCAGCCGCCACAGACACGGAACTAGAGTTGTCACGCATTTGTCAACTCACAACATTTCGATGACGCCTGTAACTGCTACTTGTGCCCAAGGTGTCCCTATGTGCTCCCTACATAGTCTGCATCTAATCCCACAATATTTTTCAAGATTTCTGCATGAGCCCTGCCTAGAGAGCTGGCCAACAGTCCAGAAACATCTGCACGTGATTCTCGGGTATCTGCCAAGGGCATCATCAAACTTCTCAGACATGTACAACTTAGGCATGTATGAATGAAGTCATGACCTTGTGGCCTTTTCCAGGAGTTGCGCCGGGAGTGGCGCAACCGACCAGTACCGAAGGCCCTGTCATTTGTTTCAGAATTCAGCACATGCCCGCGATCACCTTCATTCAAGGAATACGGTCCTTAGTTGAAGGAGCATCTGGTTTCCTGCAAGCGGAGCCCCGCAGACGAAAGCTGGAATATCAGAGTCTTAGGGTTGGGGTTTTGGGGGCCGTGGAACTGTTGCTAAGATCTGTTGATTTGCCTTTAATCGCATCCCTTTCATGAGGGTTATGGCTATGGGGTTATGTATAGTTTTATTCAGAAGGTTGGGAGTGCCGGGCTTAAACAGAAACGCATATATCTCCTAATTTGCGGATCCTTATCAGAGCTTATGACGCGTAGTCCGAGTCCTGCAAGCAATGTGATCAACTCAGACCTCTAATGCAGGCCCAGTGGACAAGCAGATTGCCAGTGTAGCAGGATGGCAGCAGACGCAAAGCGAACATGTGAAACATGTACAGAGAAAAATCGTCATGTGGGTCGGGGGGGCACGATCTTCACACCACATATATAGAGGACACCAAACTTGTTGGGCAACATATTACATGTTTGCATCTCCCACTTTTCAGGGCTGTTAAGGGCCACACGATTGAGACCGTAGTAGATGGTACCTGGTACCTGAAACCCTTTCATCATTTGCTTGTTGGGGTCCTTGGGGTGAGATCCTGAACCTCAGAGCCCTGAACTGTGAACACCCGTGTCCAGCAGTGCCAGGAAGACATGCCCTGACTCTGGGGAACATTCCTGCTGAGCCGCAGTTCATTGACCAATCAGCGAGACGCATCGTCGAGCCCAGATGAGCCCGGTAGCCCGCAGTTCGTGAGCGCATATTATTGTACCAAAAATGACCTCTCAGCCATGGGCTGAGTGATGCATTGTCTCAATTTTAAAGAGTGTGTGGATTCTGAAAAAAAATGGAAATCAGCATTCGTGAAACCAGCATGTTTTTTTGCAGGTGCTCTTTTTGGAAGTAGGATTCCTACCTCAGGAAGGCCCCATTTGCCCTTTCGCCTCAGTTTACGGCTGGAGGAAAATACTTGGGTGCACTACCCTGAATCCTATCCCTGAACCACCCCAGATCCTAAACCCCCAGGCACTCAAACCTATCAGCCCTAGCAGGCCCCAATGATCAACAAGTCCGCCAAATCAGATGGCAAGAGGTGCTTCCGACATGTCAGACAAACGCAAACGGGGAGAAGACCATCAGGGCTGGAAGTGGCCCCTATTAGGGTTTTGGGTTTAGGGCTTGGTGTTTAGGGGTTTGGGGTTTTGGGTTTAAGGTTTGGGGTTAAGGGTTTGGGGTTTAGGGTTTTGGATGTAGGGTTTGGGGTATAAGGTGGAAAGTCTCATCCTTGGGGCCCATCCCTGGTGGGGCCTTCTTCTCCCCAAGTTTCATGAAATCTCAATGCAAGTGCCGCCTGAGTCGAAAAGGCGCGATGCTCTCTATTTCAGGATCGCTCAGCATTTGGAGATGATGAAGCGCAGCTCTCACAGTTATCATGGTCGTTCTTGCCTTCCGGACTACTGACATTGCCGGAATGGCTTGTAAAGTTTTGTGAAGTTGCGGCTGCTCCTGTTTGCCAATGCGTGACTCCTAAATTGAGAACTTGCTCCCCGATTGGGACTGTTTGGAAAGAGCCAGTAGAAGATTCTGAACACGAAGACGGCCCTGATTCTGCCTACTTAGATACCCAAATTGGTGATGTTTTTGCCGGAAGGGCAAGCACTGCCCAAGACATGTTGCACAGCCCGCTAAATTGATATGCTTCAGAACTCTAAGAGGGACTCCCAGAATCCTGTTACTGTTTTGGTTGATGAGTGATGCCACTGCCGCAAGTGAGCTATAGGCAGCACATGTTCATTCGCGGGAACCGCTCCAAAGAGTGCCGGACTGTTGTGCGTGTTCGATGTTTTCTTGCCAGCAGACCTCACCAGTGTACATCCTCTTTGCTGA